TGGTTAGACAGACACAACCGCAGATGGAGCCGAGACAATCGAAGCTCCACAGCACTTCTTTGACGAGTTGAATGGGTCCTGATGCGAATACTGCGTACGTCACCCGTCGTGCAACGCCTGTTCCCCACGATTGGGGGTAGCGCTCCCTCTACAAATCGTGCAGTTGGAGAAAAATCTAGCAAAATACGACTCCCCCACAAATCCTCCTCTGTCATGACCCTCTCCTTTTCCCATCCCTTTTACCATCTTCCCACCCCTTTCCGGAGGGATGTACCAGTTTTCCCCAAAAATTACCCAAGCGGGGGAATGGGACTACATAGCGCCGGTGAAGAAACGGGAAGAAACCGGGACTAAAGACTGATCGAACACTTCTGATTCAATGAAAATGGACCATGGCGAGCGTGCACTCCATTGCGGACAAACGGTATTTGCCGATAGTAACATAACCTAGGTGAGACCTGTGCAAGAATCTACAAGTCTTACAGTCCTCGGTACCCTTCACCATAATGTGTACCCTCCTCCACTTTGTCTTCTGGGGGGTCGTATTTTGGGGGAGGGGCAGGGGTGAGCGTCGGGGGCGGGGTGGGCTTAAGAATCAAAATCCAGATCACAAACTCTTCCGGGCATAGGCTCTAATTGCTATCCTTTCAGATTCCTCAGGTCAGCTACTCTTCGACTGGTGCCGAGCTGAGCGAAAAGCCACGATTCGGCTATTTTTCTCGTGTGGTGCCTCCAGACAATCTGCAAGCACAAGTGATGGCACGTGTGGTGAGTGCTGCATACTTTTCGGCTATTCCCACAGATGTTCAGAAGAAGAAAAGGATACCGCATGACATTCACCACATTATTCTTTCGATCCTCCACCTTCTACGACTTCTGCCCATAGACGTAATATCATTTGAATGTTCAAAGGGCTCTTGGTGTTGAAATGAGGTTAAGGTCATCCATCGAGGAGTGCTATCTTTAGTTCGGTTCAGAAGCCCGGTGCTCCTTCCCGTTTTGAGCTTACCCGAAAAAAATTTCATCCCCATTCCGGGAACACCAGTTTTGCACAGGAAGTCTCACTGGATGCCCCTCTCTCCCTCAGGTTACTAGCCCCGGTTGCTCGATTATGTGAACACCGCAATTTTTTTCCTAACCCTTTCCCTCGTTGGAATCCTATGGGTGCTATGAATACCCAAAGTGAACCCCTAGCGTACCGAGCATGTCCTGGATTGATTTGGGCATGATATGATCCAAGCCTTCGATATACGCATATAACCAGTGGAGCTGGAGCGAAGAGAAAAAGCTCCGCCTCAGTTGCTCATCTTCGTCCTGACTATACCATATTAGTCAGTAATCTAATAGCTGTATCAGATCTCTGAGACGGGGATTGTTTTCGCAATTGTTTTTGCTGACTTCCATCGTCTTTTGTGGTGAGAAAGCTTCCGAACGTCACTCGACGTATGCATATCTAACAGGGTGCTCGGGAAAATCTCAGCGAATTTCATAATTAAATTTGTTTTTTCCTGAGATTCCACTGATGAAATAAAGCGAAAGAAAGCGTATAGCAGTGAGATCTCTTGAAAAAAGAAATTTAATTATGAAA